AACTTGAAATAATACAGCAAATACCTTCTTCTTCTTTTGTTTTGGTAATACAGCAAATACTTGAGAGCAGTTTGCAGCATTGCAGGGTTGAATGATAACTTGAATCCCGCTGCTGCCCAAAAAGTGGCATGTGCCCCGAAGACTCTTTCGCAGGCGGCTGCTCAGACGAAGATTCACACAGCCTTTGGCATATTGGATCAATCCTGCACTGAACTTCGGTTCTCGAAGTTCACACTCAATCCTATTTAGATCACTTGTCAAGCCTTTGGCGTATCGGATCACTCGTGCAGTCGACTTTGGTTCTGTAAGTGCGCACCTAATTCTATACAAGTTTGATGAATGATGACGAAGCCCATGATTGCCATGCTGGTTCCCTTCTTCTTGATTGTTTGTGTTCATGTTGTGCTGACCTGAGCTGTATGGTGAGTGGGCTCAGGTTGTCAAACATACGCGGCTTTACGGTCTTTACCCCCATCATGGCGAATGTTGAGAAGGCAAATGTTTGGGGACCCCAGCAGTATGCCGTTTTACTTGCGCACGGTATGCCCATCCATCAACTTGTCTCCTTTTTTTGTCACTATTCCTGGCATCTCCCTCCTAGTTCTACACTTGTGATTGCCATGGACATGTTGCAGGCACTCCAAACAAACAGCCACCTGTTATTTGGCAGCTCGTGGAGGTGCTCACCTGTGGATAGACAGAAACCGTTTAGAATTAGAATTAAGAGTACTTAGAATGAGAATTAAGAGCAGCAAGAAAGATCTACATACATGAAACTGATTTTGTGTGTGTGTGTGTGTGTGTGTGTGGGTGGGTGGGTGGGTGGGTGTGGGTGGGTGTGGGTGTGGGTGTGGGTGTGTGCGCGCGCGCCACCGAATTGCCTTCTCAGGTGCTGCGGTACATTGGTGTCGTTGACTGCGTAAAGAATGAAGGGAGCGTGGAATTGAAGAGCTACCCCAAGTCTCATGCATTTGCTCAACTGTCTGGGAGTGACAACATTATTGCGTTCACAACCACACGCTACCGTGACCAACCACTCATTGTTCGTGGTCCAGGAGCTGGCAAAGAGGTTACCGCAGGTGGCGTGTTCTGTGATGTGCTTCGGCTAGCAGCCTACCTCGGGGCTCCTTCCTAGTGTGCTTTCGGCCTTTGATCGCAGTGAGCCAACCCATTTGCCAGGGAGAATCAATTTGCCGCTGAACGTGAGGCAAGGGCAGTTTTTGATCCGCTGCTGTAGCAGCATAAGAGGTGAACATACCACAGGAATTCACTGCCCTCGATTGCTGCGAGGGATTTTTTGTCGAGATTTTGCCTTCACAGTGTGTGCTGGCACGGATAGGAATTCGCTGCCCTCGATCGCTACGAGGGAATTTTTGTCGAGATCTTGCCTTCACAGTTTGCACTGGCACGGACAGGAATTCGCCGCCCTCGGTGAGGCTCGATCACTACGAGGGAGTTCTTTGTCGAGATTTTACCTTCATGGTGTGCACAGGCACGGACTGTCATCTGGAAATATATGTCTTGCTCATGCAAGAACACTCCCTGACTTGTATGAGATCATCTCTTGCCAATCTATTGCCATAAGAGGGAAGGATAATCCCCTTCTTCTCCCCCCCCCCCCCTTTTTCCCCCGCCCCTTCTTTGCAAGAGGGATGGATAATCCCTTCCCCTCTCCCCGAAGCCTGATGCTCTATGTGAGACTTGTTGATTCCCAGAAAGGCAGGCTTCCTTTTTCAGCGCTGGCGGATCTGCAAGCTGATTCTTCCAGGACTTTTGAAATTGCTTTGATGAAGTTTGATCCTTTGTTTTTGTCCATACTTGTTGTGCCAAAAGAGGGCATACCATCCATGGTGGGTCTCCGAAACCATAGATAAAATGAATCGGCGGCGGGCGGCCTCCGAAACCCGCAGCTGATAGCTGCCATGTGCTGGTGCTTTAATGCTACATTATGAGCTGCAAGCATGTCGAGTACATCTCCAAAGAAAGCATGGATGCACAAGGATCTAATTAGTGTGTCCCAGTTGTTTGTGGCTTTCGCTGCAGTATCACTTGAAAAAAAAGTGTGCATAAGCAGCATAACACTAACTTCAACGCCAACTAGTAAAGCTCACCTATGCTGCCATGTGCACCTTACACTGCTCACAGCTCAATGTCCTTGGATGCTGTTTTTTTTTTTTAGGGGGGTTCTCCTTCCTAGTTGTCCGAATTCGGGGGTTGTAGACGTATTCAATGAAATAGGGCATGATTTGCTGTTCTTTAAAGCACCAGTACATGGCCACTGCCAAGTCAAGAAAGTCCAATTGAGCCTCCCCTGAAGTTTTGGAGGCTCAAGCGCCGTAGATAAAATAAATCGACGGCGGGCGGCCTCCAAAAGGGGTCCACAGCCGATGGTTGGCATGTACCCGTGGTTTAAGACCGGTGCGGTGAGTTTTCTGTGTGACAGTGTGTGTGTACCCTAAGTCGTAGTGTATGGAGTACTATGGACGCTAAGAGAATTTAACATATATATGGGTTACGACCACTCTGGATCTCTGATCATAAGTTGGTTCAACTTTAAAGTTTAAACTTGTTTTTCATTCATATATCATCGCATTGCCCAATGTTCTTCGTGGTCCACCATTCCGTGCAAAATCATTTACCCCTTGTTCACTCGCTGTCCGATATAGTAGGCAGGCAATATCCTGCCATTGGACATTAACAGAGGCTGACACGACTACTCCCCCAAAAGCCACAGAAATATGCAGACATACAGAACAGATACAACGAACACAAGCAGACAACATATCAGTATACAGCACATAAGAAACACACAAAAAGGCTCAGTGACGTCAGTCGTGTCAGGTGGGTTTCGTCGTTGCTTTTCCACGCGGAAGGCGCTAGCGCGATGCGACTTTCTTCATTCCAATCGGAATCCACAGATTGGATATCAGCACGTTGAAGGATGGTCACCAGAAATCAATTTTCTTTCGTCTGGCCAGAGAGAGTCGTTACCAACACCCAGAGAATATGTCGACGAGGTGAGCAATGACAGGCTCTTTTTTTTTTTCTTCACTTTTTTTTTATGCACTGACTTATCAGGAGGCTGAACCCCTAAAAGTGTATAGAATCGCCATATTGATGTTTTCTGTCATGAACCCCTGTTGTAAGTAGATGGCCAGCCGATGACATCACAAGCAGCAAGGCAAAGGCAAGGCAACAAGACAGCAAGGCAAGCCATAGGGCAGCACAATGGGCAGCAAAGCAACAAGCGGGCAAGTCATGAGTGCAACAAGGCAGCAAGGCAAGCACCAGAGCAGTACGATGAGCAGCAAGGTGAGCACCAGGAGAGCACGATGAGCAGTAAGGTCGTTTATTACCTCCAAGTTTCCATAGAGGAGAGAAGGTTACGTTTTCTCCAGCTCCAGGATGTGATGAGTCGACATCGCAATTGTGTTAATTGAAACCACAATAAATAATAGTAAATAACTCGAAGGAAATGAATACTATCGATTGAGGCGAAGTGGCGTAGTAAGGCAGCCAGGCAACATCAGCAACAAAGACCAGAACGGTCAGCAGCAAGGCAATGCAAGTAGCAGGGCTGCATGATGAGCAGCAAGGCGCCAAGGCACCAAGGCAGGAAGGCGGGAATGCCACAAGGCATCAAGGCAAGAAGCAGGGAAGCAAGACAGGAGGTTAACAAGTCAGCAAGGCAGGGCAGCGCGATGAGCGCGTGGGAAGCCAAACGACAAGGCAAGCAGCAGTGGAGCATGATGGGCCAAAAATCAAGGCAAGCAGGAAGGCAGCACGGCGAGCAGCAAGGCAATAATGCAACAGCAGCAAATGACGAGGCGAGCACCAGGGGAGCAAGTTGAGCAGTAAAGCAGAAAAGCAAGCAGCAGGTCAGCAAGCAAATTGAGCATCAAGGGAACAAGGCAGCAAGGCAAGGTTAGCAGCAGGAGGATCTAATGAAACACGGCACTGAACAGCAAGGGAGGTGTCGGCTGGAGGGATGGGGGAGGTGGGTGGGCAGCCAAGCGGCAAAGCTGCAGGGCAGAGGGATGAGGTGAGTGGCAACAAGGCGGCGAGGACAAACTGCTAGGAAAGCAGCAGGGCAGTATCAGCAAGGCAACACCAGCAATGCAGTCCACTCATACCTTCATGTCATCAAGGGACCAAAGCAGGTCATCGCCGCTCACACCACAAGTAGAACTCTACAGACTGCAGTCTCACACCACCATCAGAGCCAAGGAGTCACTCTGACTAAAACCTGCCTTCACGCAGGGATCACGCAGGCACAGGCAATCCCACCTAATGGTGTTGCAGGCACTCCACGCAAACAGACACTCACTGACTATTGGCACACCTTGAAGGTACTGGACTTAGTCACAGAGGAATGACAAGACCCCATGCAGCACGTGGATAACAACACAAAAAAAGACACTAAAGAAATTAATGAATTATAGACTGGAGCCATTGGTGGAGCAGATAGGATTATATGCTCGTACCATCACTCCTATCTGCGACTGCCGGTGTTTCAAAAAGAGATTAAAAAAAAAAAAAAAAAAAAGATTGTGTGTCCTTCGGGACAACCGTTAAAATTGGAACGATACAGAGAAGATTAGCATGGCCCCTGCACAAGGATGACACGCATAATTCAGAAATGGTCCAAAAAAAAAAAAAAAAAAAAAAAAAGGAGGAGATTGTGCGTGTGCATCTGTCTGTGAATGTGTGTGTGCGTGCTTGAGTCATAAACCGTCAAAGTACGCTAAGCAAAATGCCACATAAAATGATTCATTGCAAGTTTTTGCAACCATTCTGATCACAAGTTGTTTTCATACATGTCATCCGTAGCAGAGCCCAGTACGTCACCCTCCATACATCGTGGGGTACCAGTTCGGATCGTAACCATTCCCCCTTTACTCGTTCTCTATCCCATTAACTATGTAGGCGATATTTGCTATTGGCTGACCGGTCGATTCCCAAGGATCCCCACACCTATGCAGATGTAGCGAACACATACAGAACACGTAAGGATACAGCACCGAATATGAAACACAGAGTAATGACGGACTGTTGCATCAGGCTATAGACTTCGAAGTGACACTCGAAAAGGAGCCCACAACAAGGTTTGCCCATCAAAGTAAACACAAACAATGCCAGGACCCGAGGGAAGGGTTTCGTCTCGTTGGCACTCCCGGTGTATGTAGCGGCGGTAAGTAAGTCTGGGTTTCTTTATAGATTCCAGAGAATCGTTAACATCATTTTCCGCATCCCGATCAATGTGACTGAGACCGTGGCCAGCTCTTGCCATGAGCTTCTAAGTTGGTGGAGGGGGTGGGGGACATGCTATCGACATCTACCGATTTCCTACCCTTTGGGAATAATTAACATTATGCCTGATTCAGGCCCACCTTCAGGTTAGATGATTTTGGGTCATACCATCAATAGGCAGATGGCATGGTGGAACCAAATCGGACCTCCGGTGTATGGTGGAACCAAATCGGACCTCCGGTGTATGGTGGAAGGAACCAAATTGGACCTCTGTTGTATGTCCTATCATTTTGGTATCCAGTACTATCCACACTTGCTTGCACTTTAGCTAAGTCCGCTCCCTGTTTCATACTTGGCGGAGGTTCTTCAAATCTAGGTTCGTCGTTATCGCAATCATTTACAGGGTTTGGGCAGATGCTGTTCGTAGGGACCAGCTTGGCTATCATGGGAATAGGAAGCGATTCATCGTCGTGTGGTTCGACTTCATTCATAATCCCATGAATTCAGATGAAAATTCCATTATTCTTAAAAAGACGGACAACCTGCATAGCATCGTGTTCGCGTTCAGATGAAAATTCCATTATCGTGAACACGTTTGCGCGAACGTGGAGGGGCGCGAACACGTTCGCCGTGCTACGCAGCGAACAACATCTGACCATGTACTCACGCATCATACTTAGGTGAGGAAGCAATCTATGTTCCTCCGCAAGAAAAGAAGTCCCATTTGATTTGTTTTAAACCACCAAGTTGCACCAACCCTTTCCTCGCCAAAGGTCCTGCACACCGAAAAAGAAACAAACCGGGTGGGTGCCTTCTTTCATCTGACAGTGCCAGCCATTTTTCTCCGGTAGGCCGACCCCCGAAACTTGCAGCCACATGCATGCCGGGCCGGAGTAAAATGGCTGGCAAACATGCTGGTGGCTTAAACAGTAGCAGTATCGATAAATGAAAATTATGCAATCAGCAGCTTCATATCGTGAACATGACGATTCTCATCCATTCCTTCACTCACAGATCGAAAATGACGAGAAGTTGTGTCTGCCTGTGGATGATCACTCCCACCTTGCTTTCCTTCCTTCCTAACCTCTTTATCCGTCCCCGTATCATCCTATGATGTTCAGATACTTATATGTTTGTAATCGGATCCTCCTCCTCTCCATCGCATTGTGTCATCCACTCGCCAGGCAATTCTGCTTGAAGGTGGACCCAATAGAATCCATTTGATTATATGTAGCAAGACAAATGTGATTGAGAGCATCCTCTTAGCTCTCATCCTCCTCCACTTCTTCCTCCTTTGTCCTCCCATTCCCCCTTCGCCATGGAGGAGCATGATTGGGTCCCACGTGGTCCATTAGCTGATCGACCCCACACACACGGAGAAAGACTCCAGGCTAGGCTGGTATACCAGTTCGTCTTCCACAAACTTCCCATCGCGCTGTGATCCAAGCGGTAAATATATATTGAATATATATTCAAAGAGATATTATGAATCATTTAATTTTTATAAAGATTTGATATATTAGATTTGATAGATTGATTTGAAAACATCAAATACTGAAAGATTGAATTTATTGTATTGGCGGAGATAGGATTTGAACCTATGACCTCAAGGTTATGAGCCTTGCGAACTACCAAGCTGCTCTACTCCGCTTTAATCAAATTGTAAAAAAACAAAATAAAGAAACAATAAATAAACTTTGAGAAAGCTAAAATAGCTAGGTTACCAGAGTGGCCCGGGGTCACTCGCCCGGCCGGGCCAAAAATAATAAAAAAAATAAAAATAAAACAATTATTTTTTATTTTTTATTTTTTTTTCTAAATTTGGTGCAGAATTTCGATGTGACCCTGAGGCAAAAGTTGTTCAGTTTATTTTTCTGCATAACATAGTTTTTTTTCGGAGTTTTTTTTCGGAGTTTTTTTTTTTTTTCTGGGACCTTCCCTGGTCCTTGCACTGGCCGGCCACCGGGACCCGGGCGGCCCGGCTGGTAGCCTAGTAAAATAGCATATAATTCCTAACAGTAAAGATCGAAAATTCCAAATAGAAAGATCTTTTTAATACAACACCATCGTGCTGTCACCTTGTTTTGATCTCCTCCTTGCGGGGACTAA